GCCCAGGACTCCGTGGTCATACCCACCCTGATCATCAGTCTTCTCTGGTGGAGGCACCATCGACAGAGGCGACGGCATCAGAGGCCTGGGCGTCGACGGGGCCGTCAGAGACGGCACTACCACTGGCAAAGTACAAGGCAAGTCCTTGGACGTGCAGTCATCCTCACCATGGTGCAGGCAGCGCTGGACTGCGCTATTTGGAATGATGGGCTCGATTGGAGAAAGACTGAAGCCAGACTCTGTTTCTGTGGCACACAGATTTGAATGGCAGGCCAGCTGCTTTGCTTGCTTCTTTGGGTTGCGCTGGTTGTTGCCGTATGCCGTCTGTTTGGCGTCGTCGCCTTCGCCCTTGTGGCACTTGTGAACATGCAACGAATACATCAGCGTTGATTGGCATCCGGAAGCCGCCCGGGTATGAATACATCAGCGCTGATTGGCATCCGGAAGTCGCCCATGTATGAATACATCAGCGCTGATTGGCATCCGGAAGCCGCCCAGGTATGGATGGATACATCAGCGCTGATTTGCATCCGAAAACCGTCCGGTAAGCAAGCGTGCAGCTGCTTTTGTGACGGTGAAGACCGGATGGAAGCGATAAGAACCATAAAAAGCGTAGCGAGACTCGACAGAAGACTTGTCAGAATGTGAGGGTGAAGTGCACAGAAAGTGTGCAGGTATAGCTTGGTGGGATTTGCCGTTTTGGGAAGGTGGGGCGAGTATGCAAAGCGAGTATAAGGTCACATGTCAAGCACGACTACATGCAGTGCCTGACACGACCAGCCCAAGTGACAAGGATGAGCAGGAGACTGTTGAGAAAGGGTTAGAAATGAACAAAACAAAGGTGGGGTGATGAGAAGGTACTTGCATTTGTTCAGAGCTCATGTGGCTCGCGCTTTGGGTGGCATCACTGCCATTGAATGTGTCTTCTGTCGAAGAGGGGTAGCTGCCGAGTTTGCAGACGTCGCCGACCGCGAAGCCGGTCTCAAAAGTACCAGACGTGAATGAGGGGTAAAACTGCGATTCTGCAGTAAATGTCAGTGAATTTCCGTCTGGGAAGACACGCTAGAGAAGTCCAGTAAGGTAGTGGCGAGAACGTGAAAAGAGCATCAAGACTCGACAATTTTGTCCCCTGAGGGAGGGGAGGGGGAGTGGAATACTGTGGAAAGTGTATCGCGACGCGACGCGACGTGACAAGACGCGACGTGACAAGACGCGACAAGACGCGGCAAGAGCCGTGGAGAACGAGCATCGAGGCTTGTCGAGAGAGCGGCAGGAACAAGGAAAGAAGGCTCGAGGCCCGACGAGAAACTCGTCCAAGGAAGAGGGGCAGTGGGAGTGGGAGTGGGAAGGCCAAGGAAAGGGCAGGTCCTCTTGCCTTGCTATCAAGACCCGACGAGAGGGTCCAAACAAGACAAGGCAAGAACCATGGAAGGGAGTGTCCAGATCCGACGGAAGACCCGCCCGAAGAAAGAGAGATATACTTACTGTGCATCGCGTGATGGCTTTGAGTGATAGATGGCACTAGATGTGAAGCAATAGATGATGATAGATGGCGATGGTCGATGGCGAGGGCTGGCCAGAGTTGTGGATTGAAGGTGAGAAGGTTAGGTGGGAAGCAGAAGCTGAGCAGGAGCTTGCTTTTGTAAACAGACCGCAGGCAGCTCTGGGAGCTTGGACCCGCAGCAGCGGCCAGGTCGAGCTCGAGGGGGGGTGTCGAGCTTGATGCTGCAGATGGCGGGCGCGAGATTTTGTGCGGCCACAGAATGTGCGGCGGCAGTGGGAAAATGGCAGTTACAGAATTGCGGCGGGCACAAAAGAGTGCGGAGGGCGACAAGCGCCCAGCACAAAAGCCGCGGCGATGCATAAAAGGCGGCTGTTACATGAAGGCGGCGCGGGCACGACAAACGGGGAGCATGGCAATCCGCAGGCACGGCTGTCTCTAGCTGGTGCACAATCGTTCTACTCGACACCAAGTGGCTTCGACCCTTGCCGCACTCCGTGTTCGACGTGCTCGCTCAATCACTGACTTACCCGAGTAGTCGAAGCTAGATACTCGGTATCACTAGAGTTTACGTGGTGTTTCTGGAGGGTGAACACTTTGTATTTGATATTTCTCCTTCTCTCCTTTGATGTTCTGTACTCTGCTCTTGCATATCAAGCATTGGAGCTTTGAATTATGGCATAATAGACTATCGCACATTGGAGCACTGCATGTATGGTCGTCTGGGCTTCGATTTTCTGTTCTTTGATTGCCAAGTCTTTTCTAGTTCAAGCTCAGCATCAGATCTTCCACCCTATGTCGTTCGCTGTTCATCGTCACCGTAGACTTTTGTTCTCGCCGCCTATTGCTGCTCAAGTCTCGTGCATGTGCCTGACTGCTGATAGTGTCCGTTGCCAAAGTAGTTGTCGATGGACACCACCAGCCCCAGTCGGACCCGTAGTCATCTCAAGTAAGTAGAGTAGCCGCCGCTATTATTACAGCCGTCGGAGAATAGCTCATCCATGGGACGGCAGCGTGTGTTTGGACGGAAGCGATCGCTGTTGCCCAAGTCACTTGAGCAGAATGCGACACCCTTGGGCAGACCAGGACGGCAGGCGAGCTTACCGTCGAAACACGCAATGCCGATGAAGTGTTAGCTAGCAGCTTCGGATCCTTGAGCATGTCCAGAGATGTCGAGTCTTGGAAGTCGTAGATCACTGATTCGCTAGTTCCATACATACAGCGAGTATTTATATCTGTCACTCTCGGTACCGTGGATCATGTCTATCTACATTGAAGCATGCAGAAATGCAAATTGAGTACTCAGCATGACTGTGTGTGAATCTTCTTTTCAATCATTTGTTTTGTTATCTGTTCAATATCGAGTTCATCGCAAGTATTCCTCGAGTGATCAGCAAGGAGGTAAATAGTTCATGTTCATATCTGATCCAAGCATTCTGCCTATTTCTATCTACAAGTCCTGTGATATTATTAACTAGGCTAAGCTCCCGTGTTGCTTGTTGCTTTTCTGTTCAGAGAGAAATCTATTGACTTCACTAGAAATTTTCAGGCATGATCAAGATACAGCATAAGTGTTTCTGTCAAATCACGGCAGGAAGCTCGGTCTTTTGAATGGAATACACATTTTTCTGATTACGTAGATGCCTCGTGATATCAAAACAACACAATGTCGTATTCCATGCTCTTGTCTCCAGTCACTCGCTGCCCACCCAGTCAACCCACGTACCACAGCATCGTTCACAAAAGCTCTCTGCCTGATCCAGCCACCGCCGAAACAAAGCAGATAGTGTGCAACTTGCCGACATATTTCCAACAGCCACTAGGTCTTCTGGCTTAGTGGCTAGGTGCGACAGACTACCGGTTCGACGCAGACTCGACCCTCGGAGGACTGGAAGAATCTACCTCTCGAACTCGGGGCCTGTATGCACCATTTTTTTTTTCATTTTTTCAATGCAGAGCAACAACAGTGTGTATTATAAGACTCTCTTTTTTTTTCTCGCATTTCAAGACTGGAATGGTTGGTAATCTTACTGGCTACAACCCAAGATAATTGACTACACTGTACTTGGTGTGCATACCACAGGCTTCTCTGTTCAGCCTTACGTGTTGGGAAGCCATCATTTTGCTTTCAAGATTAAGGACATGGGAGCCACCGTCTGTACTTCAGGGTCACACTTGGAGTTGCAAGAATTGGTCCGACAATTTTGACATCTGGAGTCCATTTCTAAATACAAATGTTCTCGATGAATTCGATGCAGAGACCTCACCGGCCATTAAGTACACAAGACAGAATAGACACTTGGAGTATCAATTCGATTCCATTCACCCTTTTCCAATCTCCGAAAAGAGCCAATGTCCATTCCGCCAAAATATGATATATACAAGAAAATGCCATGGCCTCATGACGCCGAGAATGTAAAAAGTAATCAAAACGCTGGTTTCGTTCCCGCTTCGTATGTGTGGTATAATAAGCCCCCCAAAAATACAAGAACCCTGCCGTGTCCGTGTCCAAAATTGACTACGAAAAGCCCACCTCCCTAGCCTGCTTACAGTCCGGACACAGGCCTCGGACGAGGCGGCCCGGGTACGGCCCGGCCTTTTTGCCGCACCGGCCAAAGCCGCGGTGCGAGCGCAGCACGTCGTAGCACTTGTGCTCGCAGATCTTCTCAAAGGCCCGTGGCCGGCTGCAGATCTCGCAGACCTTGGTCAGGCGCTCCGAGTAGCACATGCCTGGGGGAGCAGAATATGTGAAAAGAAAAGGAGAGCAGGAGGTTTGGGCGCTCCGGCTGATATTTGTGTGTGTCGCCGGATAGGAATAATGAGATATCCAGAAATTTATCTCCCTTGGTTGTCTTGCCTTTAAGATCAGACTAGATTTTAAGAATGTTGGCTACAATCATATGCATCAGCTTCTTGTATCGCCATGTGTGTCTGGGGGATGATTCCACTTACATTGGATCCATTAAAAGCGAGGCGGGATCCTTTGTGTCCTTATCCGATGCAATCAATCTTGGCGGCTTGTTGATACGGATGGGGACAATGCCCCTCAGTAGCACTCAGACGACAAAAGTAGAATGCGCAAAAAGAAACAAAGTATCTTCTGCCATACAAGTGAATACTTGTCCCATATGAATTCTCCAAGAGTTTGGGGCAAAAGAGAAAACAAAGCGAGAGCGAGAGAGGAAGATGGCAAGTTCGTGTGGCGGTGCTGATAAGTGGTCTTGGTTGGTGGCAAGGCAAGTAACCTGTAGTAGGCACGTTTTGGTCGTATGTTACTTAAATAGCGCTCTGAGTACAGGAGAGCATATCGTAAAAAATGCGGGGAGTCGGGGCTGGGGGAGACCAAGAAACAGGGAAACGCAAAAAAAGAATGGCTGCAGGGTCCAGTTAGAAAAAAAAAAAGCTGAGTAATGCAGATGGAGAGATGCATATAAGTAGATGCAACAAAAAAGAACAAAAAAGTGAATTGAACGCAAAACCTACAAAAATGTTCCAAAAATGCGCCCGGCAGGATTTGCACCCGCGGTCTCTTCCTTGGGAGGGAAGCAGCTTAACTACTAGCCCACGGGCGCCGAATGAACTGGTCCGTTGAAAAATTGCTCAGTTATTTGGATCCAAGAGATAGGTAGGTCAGTCTAACGGGCGGACAAAGGAAAAAAAATTGGAAACATGAAACAGAACGTGTTGGTCGTTCGCTCTTTCCACACATACTGTGCAAACGGGAAAGGAGGGAATTTAATACGCGCGGGCAGGCTGAGCCCGCCGACCAAGTCTACCTAGGTATTGATGGCGTATGTAGCTCAGCCCCCTACATTAGCTGTTCACCTATTCACATTTGGTACCAATAACTTGAACTGTTCTGCAAACCCAGCCTCCATTTCCACTGCATTTCCCAGGCCAGGCTCTTCTCTTCTGCAGGGCTTCGAGAACTGGATCCCAATCGCAATCCCTGTGCGCCACGGTGCTTGCCCATTCCCCGATCGAAAGTCCAGAATTTAGAGCTGCAATTCTGGATCGTTCTAGGATCCCCAGCGGCACTAAGGTCCATCCTTGATAACTGGATCCTCTCTGGGTGCTACGCCTGTATGATCGCCCTGGACACGCGAGAGCCATGGCCACGGACCGAACAGTGGGCCAGCATGGTCGTGGTGGAAGGCAAGTGAGGCCGCAAACCCACATGTGAGGCTGATCTCATATCATCAATCCAACGCTGTCATGTTTCTAGTAGCGAGCACTGTTATACATGTATACAATTAAGATTAGCCTTGTCTCACCCTCCAACCTGGGGTCTCAGAGTATGCGATCATTCTTGGGACTACACGGACGGTTGTAAACCTCGGATATATTATTCCCTTACTCTGTTCTCTTGAAACTCTAATAACAGTATGCATTCTTTGCCACAAAGGTTCCCAAATTGCTCGCTTACTCAATTGACATTGGTGGGGTATAGTATGCTCGTCAAAATCCTAATGACTTGAAAGAGGCTGGACATGTATCCAACACTCGGTACAGCTCATACCAACATAAGTACATGACCATCGTATCCGTCATAATAGCCAACCTGTACGCCCCGTATTCCCTCCCTACAAACATGTAAAATGCAAACGTAACCATTGGAAAGGGTATATGTCGGCTTATGCAGCTCTCCGAACTGAGCAGAAAATCGCAGGCAAACCGAATCCATGCCAGTGATGAAAACACCCACCCAATATTGCCTTTCCGTCTATCAGCCCAATGGATGAAAAAGAAAAGAACAAAGTCCGACACATATCCAACAGTCTTTCAAATTAAGCGCCTCCTCTCAGCTTCTTCCACCAGCTACTTCGAGGAGTAGTATCCATGAAAACATTGTCGCGAGGCTTTTCCCCGCTTCCGTCGGAACCTCCACGGCGGCGGTCTCGCTCCTCGCGACGCGCGCGGCGACGTCTCTGATCGTCTTCCATTTCGGCGCTGCCATCTTCGTATCTGGAGCGGCGACGAGCCCTGCGTGCAGCACGACGGGCCTCATCATCGTCAGTCGGAGTCGGAGCATCAGTGCCGGGATCATTTTCGGGAGGCGGTCCGGCGTCGGAATGCTCCTTGACCCAAGATGAAGTTCCAGAGTGTGGCCAGGCTGGTTGCTTCTTGCTGTCTTTTGGCTTGGGCGTGTAGACGTACTCGTCTGGAGGCGTAGACCGACCACGACTGGCCTTGGCCTCGTCAGCAGCGCGGGCTGCACGGCGAGCTTCACGGCGTTTACGGCGGGCCTCTTCATCTTCAGTATCGGCGCCTTGCCTGGACCTGTGTCGGTCATCTCTTCCAGATCGTCGAGGCTCGGCGTCTGCGTCCTCGGCAGCAGCAGCGGCGGCGGCCTCTTTGCGAAGCCTGCGACGTTCTGCACGCTCCTGGTCTCTCGCAGCATCCATCTCGGCAGCCTGGCGTTCATCGTCTGCCTTGCGTGCAGCACGTCTCTCGGCCCGTCTCGCTTCGCGCTCCGTGTCGCGGCGAGCCTCGTCTGCCTCTTCTTGGCGTTTGCGGCGATCGCGGCGAGCTTCTTCCTTGGCGGCGCGTGCCTCTTCCGCTTGTTTCTCCTCGGCGCGTCGGGCACGTCGAGCCGCACGACGCGCTTCCGCTTCGGCGTCTGCTGCGGCACCCTCGGCTTCACTCTCACGTCCTGACCGTCTGGCTCTCTTGTCGGGACGACCACCCTCGTCATCTGTAGTTTGGTAGGTGCCACGACGACGAGGCTCTGGACGAAGCTCGGAGCGAGGAGTGCTTGACATGAGACCGCCAAAGAGACCAGAAATGCCCTTCTTGGCACTCGAGTTGGAGCGCTTGAGAGGAGTCGCATCGGGAGGTCCATCGGCTTCTACCATGACAATGTCGTCATCGGCCGCCCTTGACCTCGACTTCTTGTGGGATGACCTCCTCTCAGGGGCGGGCGCGGCATCGGCGGGATCGACCATGACAATGTCATCATCTTCAGCAGCGTGGCGTGACTTGCTCTTGCGGCCACTCTTGTCGACACCCAGGATCTTGGCTGCCTTGCTTGACATGGCGGGTATCTCCTCTGCTGGGGGAGACATGAGACCACCAGACATGTCGTGACGACGCGAAGAGGATTTGCTGGGACGCCTCTCGCGGTGAGACTTGGATCGCGCCACCGGCGGTGTGCTTTGGAAAACACTTGGCACGCGAGGAGCGAACAAGTTGGAAGATGCCCTCTCGTGCGCCTTGGGTCGTTCTGCCTTATCCGACGAGGAGCCCTTGGATGATGTTTTTTCTTCTCGCTCCTTTCTTTCTGATCTCGATCGCTTGTCTTCAGACCTGGACTTGGAGGACTTGGGCTCGTCTTTCTTCGGTGTGGCAGACCACGCACCCCAAGATGAGCCACCGTCGCGGTTGATCTTGGCACGCTCCTTCTTTGTGGATCGGACAGGCTCGATAGGGGGGGACAAGGGCACCGCTGGCGGCGGTGGAGGTACTTCTGGTGGCACCTCGCGTGACTTCTTGCTCTTCTTGCTCTTCTTTTGGGACATGTCGACTACTTCAATGATCTCGTCCTCATCGTCGACGGGGAAGCTGCCAGGAATGCCGTTTCTCTTGTGGGAAAAGTAGTCGTCGTCCAAAAAGTCGACGTCTTTGGACTTGGACTTCTTACTTTGCTCTGGAGGTGGCGGCGGAGGAGGAGGTAGTGCGTCGATGAGATCGTCTTCTGGTGCGACCTCGAACGCCTTGAGCTTGTCGGCAATCTTGCTGCTCTTCTTGCTCTTCTTCATTGAAGTGTCAGCTTTGGAAGATGGTAGCGCGTCCTTGTCGACCGTGGCATCTTCCAGAATGTTGCTTGACTCAGCATCTTTAATCTCGGCTCCTACCGAACGATAGTGGTTAGCTTTGGTAGATCTGGGGTACGCAGGCTGCACAGGCACCATGCACGGTTGGGGGATGGCGTGAACACCCAGGGGCAATGAACGAACCTTTCTTCTTTGAGCTGCTGCTACCCCACATGGAGAAGCTGTCGGACTTATCCTTGGGGGGACTCGGAGATAAGAGCTCATCGATTTGGGCCTGGTCGAGCTCGATGCCATCAAGATCCAGAAGATCGTCGCTCTTGTCTTTGGCGGGAGGGCTGTCTTTTCCGGATTTGGACTTGGACTTCTTGTCGTCCGACTTGGAGCTTTTCTTGGACTTCTTCTTGGAAGCGGCCATCTCTTCAGCTTCGACACGCAAACGCTCGGCCTCACGTATTGCCTGTTCTTCAGCTTCACGTGCAGCTTCGCGGGCAGCTTCATCTTCGGCTGCCTTGGCCTCTTCTGCTGCAATCTCGGCCTCCAGTGCTGCGAGCTCTTCGGCATCTTTGGCGGCTTGGGCTTCGTTCCGCTGGTCGGCCTTCTCAGTCAGGCGGTCAAACTCTTTTTGGTCCTTCTTGGTGAGTTTTCGCTTGGCCTGTTTTGCTGCCAACGCAGCAAGTTCTTCCTCCTCCTGAGCAATCTCAGCAGCTTCGGCTTCGACACGATCGCGCTCTGCTTGCTCCTCGGCCTCCTTGGCGGCAAGTTCGTCGGCGACGCGTTGGGCTTCTTCCTCGGCTTCCTTGGCAGCTTGCTCCTCGGCCTCGCGTTGAGCCTTCTCTTCAGCTTCCTTGGCTTCCTGCTTGGCACGCTCTTTCTCTGCCTTCTTCTTCTCCTTTTCTAGCTTCTCGAGCTCCTTTTTGCTGAGTTTGGGCTCTTTTTCCTTGCTCTTCTTCTCGTCCTTGTCCTTGGACTTGGACTTTTTGGCTGGAGCCTCATCCCAGACATTTGTCTCGGGTTCTGCCACAGGAGCAGGCTCGTCCAGTTCCATGGACGGAGGTGTGGGAGCTGGAGGTGGAATATCAGCCAGTGCTTTCTTTTTGGACTTCATCTTTGAGCTGCCAAAAATCCAGTCGTCGCGGTCCGACTTGCTCACAGACGAGACGGAATCAGGCATGACTCCGTTGACATGTGAACCGTCGACCTCGACCGGCTCGTTTCTGCTGCTGGACTTGCACTTACGCATTGATAGGGCGAGAGCGTCATCGGCCTGAGGTTCCTCGACCGCGTCGGGCTTGATGCTTCCGTCCGAGGTCTTCTTCTTCTTCTTGTCCTTTTTGCTCGTGCCAAAAGATGACCAGAAGCCGTCGTCATCACCAGCCTCAGGAACCTCTGGAACAGCAGGCGGTGGTTCTGGTACCGGCTCAGGCTCCTTTTCAAGGTCCACAAGAGCGTCCGAGATTTTCCCCTTTTTCTTGGTGACCTTTTTCGTCGCTCCCCAGAAGCTCCAGGCGCTGTCATCGGCCACGGGCTCCACGACCGGCTCTGGCTCAGGCTCCGGCTCCGGCTCGGGTGGGGGTGTGGGCGCCTTTGGAGGCTCCGCGACAGGTTCAACCTCGTCCCAAATGCTGCCCTTTTTCTTCTTCTTCTTGTCCTTTTTAGAAGAAGTGCCCCACATGTCCACTTCCGGTTCTGGCTCGGGCGCAGGTGGTGGTGGAGGTGGCGGCGGCGGTTCTGGCTCAGCATCTTTGCCCTTTTTCTTTTTCTTGTCCCTTTTGGAAGTGCCGAATGATGACCAGAAATCG